CAATTTAGAGGCCCATTTTGTCTAAGTGGTCCATAAGGCCCAAAATTCAAGCTGGAAAATTATAAATTTATATATTATTATGGAAACAAAATAAACATTTGAATATGTACGTGTAAGGCTTCAGTGTGGACCTCGTTCTTGGGCTTCCGTACAATCATTGTTTCGGCCGTAAATATTTTAAAGAGAAATTCATCTCATTACCTTCGATTATAAATCTAAAAGACAATTCGATACTAATGAAATTTTTTTCCTCTTCACGATTTCTTTTGAAAATTATAACAATAACCATGTATATATATTTATTTCGATTTTGTAAAATAAAAACTACATATATATATATATATATATATTCTGTTTTTAATTTTTTAAAAAAAACTATGTTCATTTTCTTTTAATTTTTAATTCGATTCAAGTTTTATTGAGATTCGATCTGAGATTAGATTTTATGAAAAACTTACTCATTTTCTAAAGTCCTATTCTCTTTATTTTTTTATTTTTAGTTTGAAACCAATTAGATCAGTTTAATTTTAGATTAATCATAGAATTGTAAATAATTATGTATTCGGTTAATGTATTATGAGACGTAAAGTTTACATTTTTGTAAAAAATAATTTACCTAAGAAAGAAAAATCAGATATTTAACTTATATACATACACTCGTTTTGGTTGGGGATCATGAGATATTGTATTTATAGATTGTTACAAATTTATCATTTTAACTGATAATTTTTAATATTGAACTTAAGATGACATATATATATATAAATGTGTCCCACAATCAATTATTACACCGAGTTCATCCGTAAAAAATAGATTTTGGATTTAAATATATGGATTATTTAAAATTTTAAAATTACAAACTTAATATATATATGATCAAAAAAATTAGAAATTTATATTTTAATTTTTAAAATGATGATGTGGTGCTAACGGTCAACTCAATCAGCACTATGTGAACAATGTGTCATGCCACGTCAGTAAAATTTTTGATCAAACAAGTCAAAGATTTTATATAGAAGAAAATGATAAATTTATAATTTTTGTAGAAATTTTTACCAAATTCAGAAACTTTTGTGGAAGATTGCAAGTTTAGAATTTTATATGAAATATTTTAACAAGTTTGGATTTTTTTTTTGTAGGATTAACCCAAAAAAAATATCAGATATTTAACTTAAAGAGTGAATTAGTAGTAAATAAGTTAACATCAAGGGTAAGGATTAATTAAGCAGGACGTTAATGTTGCCACGTGGTAAATGTTTTTGTTTTTTTGGTAATGTTGAATTGGTCAAAGCGTTTCGTTTTCCCATTCTTCGAGTTTTCCCTCCTTTCCTTGGAAATATAACAACTTCCGTTTTTATTACAACATTTTATTTGTATGTATGTATGTATGTATGTATGTATGTATGTATGTATGTATGTATGTATGTATGTATGTATGTATGTATGTATGTATGTATGTTTTAGTGTATGTATGTATGTATGTATGTATGTATGTATGTATGTATGTATGTATGTATGTATGTATGTATGTATGTATGTATGTATGTATGTATGTATGTATGTATGTATATGTCATTCACTAAATACATTTGAAGGATGGTAATATAGATGGAGGAAGATCGAGATAAGTATAGATTCATCAATAGTTGTAGCACTCTTTTCGTTTGAAATTTTTGGTCAACATGTACAAATCTTTACTGGACTATATATATATATATACGCTCGTTTTGGATGGGGAGGCATGAGATATTGTATTTATAGATTGTTACAAAATTATCATTTAAAATGATAATTTTTAATATTGAACTTGATATATACATATGTGTCTGTGTGTCCCACAATCAATTATTGATTACACTGCGTGTCCTATATATATATAAATCAGTTTCAATTAAAAAAAAACATTGATTTGTATATTTGTTAATTTGGTGGTCCAAACTTCATTAAATTAAGTTTAGTGGATGCCCACGGCATAATCGCAGTTAGTGAGAAAGACGTGGTGGCTTTTCGAGCTTCCAAAGCGCATAATTTCAAATTAAATATTTGTTTTAATTGGTTTTTGTCACGACATTTTGCAATTTGATAGAGCCATATAACATATAATAACTTATTAATTTTTCACCCCAAAAGAAAGATATTTAGCAAAGTGGACAAAAGAAATAATAATAAGGGATAGAGAAAATGAGAATTTAGAGTGAGTTTTGTAAATTAGGGAAAGCCAATAAAGGAAAAAAAAAAGTGAAAATGCAAATCACTAAAGGATAAGTCAGGGCAGTGTCGGAATGGTGAGTCCAAAGGGTATTACGTACCTCTTGTTTACTCGGTGGGCGTGAAATTTCAGAAAATATGACTACTATGTTTAATTGTTACGAAAATTATTTTTAATTTAATATCTTAAATAATTTCACGAGGGGCTTAAATGCATCTTTGAAAAGTCAATAAATGCAGAGATCAATATATACACATATGTTGTATTCTAATTATTGGAGTAGGGTTTCAATTTTGGTCCGAATTCTAAGCCTATCCGAAAATCGAATTTCAAATTTAAATATATCGATCTGAAAAAAATTAGATTTTTGGATTGCTCTCAAATGGGGCTACGATATGAAAGTTTGATTTTTTTTTTCAAAAAAAAGTTTATAAAGAATGAATTGAGTGGACCGGTATAGGGGCGGGTTTCGGACTTGCTTGTTTAAATCCGAAAAAATTGGACCGGCTCGATCCCGAAACTCTCAGGGCGAGTGCAGACTTGGGTCGGGCGGTCTGATTGTCATCCTATATTGGAGAAAGGAGAACTACTTGTTATCGGTTTAGGGATTTGTTCGATTATATTCACAAGGTAATTAGATATATTCGTATGTTCAGACTTAAGTGGAAATAATATATGGACAAAGAATATATTTCCTTGAGCAAATGTTCAAGAAACATTGCAATAGAATCCTTTAAATTTGTTTGGATATTTGGATGTTTATAGAAATGAAAAAATGTGACTATTTATACAATAGAATGAAGGAGATTATGAAATATATTGCATGTTTGCACCGTCGCCCGTCGGTCATATTTTGTCGTTTTTTGTATTGTTATATTTTGCGCGTCGTTAATTATATTATCAAATTTCCCTAATTGTGATATTCACGCTTTAATTTAAAAGGCTGTTAGGAGATGTAACATATCTTTAAGAATAATATGATACATCCGACCCCCGAGATCATATCAAAACTCAAGACAAAAAAAAAAATAGAGAGATTTACGAATATTTGATTTTATTTTGGGTTTACGTGTTTTTTAGATGTATAAATAGATTCTATTGGATATTGAATAATACAAAAATGCATAATATATCTCGTATTATTCAATAACAAATATAATTTAATTTATACATGAGAATAAAAAGGAAATAATTAAACTAAATGTAAAATCAAATATTTATAAATCTATTAAAATCTTTAACCTCCATATTTGAACGATTTATAAAAATACAATGCTTTTTGAATCTTTGACTTGAATGATTTCTAAAAATACAATGCACGTTATAATATTTTCTAAAACGTTGGATATTTCCTGATAACCGATTAGACAGATGATTACGGTATAAATGTAAATAAACTGATTTTTCAGAAGGTCTTGATCCAAAATTGGCACCCTAAATTTTTGGCCATGAGATAACGGTGGCTTGGGATGTATGCGGTGTGCGCCAACCAGTTGTTAGTCATCGACATTATAATTTAATTGTATTAAATCCAATGTGATTAATATATAATATTGTCAAGGGTCCTTTAGGGTGTGACAATTGACACGTGAATTCATGTGAAGAGGGTCCTCTATGTTGCACCATTTTTCTTTGGAATATCCCCCAGCCAAGTGAGGTGATACAAAAATTAAAGCAACAAAATTAATATATATACATGCATATGTCTTTATAAGCAAAATTAATATAATAAGTGATAAAAAGTTAAAGAAATCAATATTAAATCACTTTTAGCGTTTAACAAACGATCGCTAGGTAATTCCATTGTAATGGACAATGCATATAGTTAAACCCTCATGTAAAAAGTATGTTGCTTTGGTAATTCAATTGCGGATCAATACTCAAACTGAAATATTCTTGTTAAATTGTAAATCAATACTCAAACTGAAATACATGGTGTAGTTTAACAGTCGGTAAATTTTTTTACAGACCATATATGAAATATATTAGTATATAAATCAATTGTTTAAACTTTATTATTCAAAATAATTTTCTAGAGTACTAGTTTCTTATAGATCATTTAAAAATTTGAAGCAATTCCAAATCAACCAAATTCAACTATATATATGTTGATTTTATAAGTGAATACATATATACCTAGAGTGTATCATTACATTTAATGTGAATATATAAACATCAACGTTAATTTCATAAAAAAAAAACTTAATTTGATATTAGGAGAATTTTATTAGTTACATGTTTTTTATTCTCAAACAGAAGACTTATTGCTATGATTATATATTCACATTGAGAGAATACATGGCTAGAGTGTATCATTACATTTATTTGTTATATAGTTTCTTATATTAGTCAACAAACTTAGTGAGCTTCAATATCATTAGCCCTAATTAACAAAACTCTTTCCATATTTTCAGCTTACAAAAGTAATATCAAACTATAATACCAATTATCAAACCAACGCGATTGAATTTAGTTCAATATAATCTCATCCGGAAATTTAATATAATATTTATCTAATCAACACCAATAATAATTATTCATGGGTTTAATCTGAAAATTAATTTTGGAAACATTAACAATTAAATCGAACTCACAACGGAGACAGACCATGTTACTTCATCATTGAACCAACAAGTTTCTTAGATTTATGAATTATTTATAAGAAAAAAAGGGACAAGTCACAAATTAAAATGCAAAATATTCAGCATCTAAAGACGAGAAAAGAGAGAAGCCAACACAGACAAATGTGCTAAATGTATAAAGAGAGTAATATATTATAAAATGTGCTTTCAATTATTCATTAATTTATTATATTATTCAAAAATCCTTTCTTCCTCTTTACCTTGCAAACCCTAACACTCTCCATAGTAACAAGCTTTGAAATGTACAGAAACCAAACCAATCTATATTTTACAGCCATATATGTATATGTATTATACATATGTATTGGAGATATGTGTATACATATCCCTAACAACAAATATAGATCGATACGTGACTCACTGTCTCAGTACGGAGGCCGCGCGTGCACCCAAGTGTACGGTTCGAGCCCTAAATGACCAATTCCTCCTCCTCCGCCGCCGTTCGGAAACATATGCGGTGGCTGGACCCCGAAACCCGATCCGGCCAACTCTGCCGTTGGATCCGGCAGACTGCTCTCTATCCCCGGCTGAGATTCGCCGCGAATCTGCCTCCGATTATCGCCGTCTTCCTCCTCCTCGATGGGCAACTTCTCGTACGTGGCATTAGAAAAAGTAGCGGCGACGATCATAACCGAACCGGCGGCGACGAGCTGGCCCACGACGCTTCCTCCGACGACTTGGCCTTGAACTCCAGCGAGATAAACGGTCAAACCCGTTGACCCCGGTGGGGCTGGTCCGGGCAAGAAAGCTCCGGTTAGGGAGAGGATATCAAAGCGGCCATGGAGGGCGACCACGCCTCCGGGGGCAGCGGGCTGACGGAGGGTGATATTGGAGACGGATCCGGTGCCGGAGAGAACACAGACGCCACGCTGCCGCCGCCGGGAGAAGTCAGCGATGACATCAGCAATGTCGCTGCCGCCGGAGATCTCCATGACGTGGCTGCGAAGTGCGTTGGGGCTGTCCCTCGTGACGATGACGGGCGGTTTGGGTTTGTTCTTGGAACCAGGAGGTCGTCCTCTCGGTCGCCGGTTCACGATCTCCACGGCGCCTTCTTTAGTGTCGTGGTCATGGTCATGGTTTTGGTTAACAGGTATTCCGAGGTCACCTTTGGTTAAGAGGGCTTGGGGGTGGTGGTGGGCTGCGGCTGCGGCCACGGCGGAGTGATCCGACAAGCCAGGCAAGCCGGTCTGATTGGTCCACCAAGGGTTCGCCAGAATTGCCGAGATTGAGCTTGTCCTATAATTAACAAAAAAGTTATCAACGAAATCGGAGATAGATATCAAGAACCAAGATGGGTTTTGGTTCTTGAAAGGGATTATGTGAAAATTCTAGGGTTTGAAGATGGCAAAGTCAAAAGGTATGCGTGCGTCTTTGGAATTCTTTCGTTCTGGCTTCTCCAAGTTCATATGTATTGAGAAATTTCTTTTGAGTGAAAGAAGAAAAAGCGTAGGAGAATTAGATGCAACTGTGGAATGGAATCAAGCAGTGGGGCCGGGCCCTTGATTATCTTTGATTAAGACAAAGAAACCTCGAAAGGGAATCAATCTCTTCCTAGAGAGAGAGAGAGAGAGGAATATTATTTATCTAGGGTTTATATTTGACTGTAAAGGGGAGAGAGAGAGAGAGAGAGAGAGAGAGAGAGAGGAGTGGAAGAAGGGTTTATTATTTATCAAAGGTGCTCATGAGTCATAAATCTAATTACCGAGTAAAAATTTGGAATACATAATAAATAACTGAAAATTGAAGGATTGGAGTTGAAAACCCAAGAAATAAGAACCCAAATAATCAGATTGACATGATCAGGGAAGGAAGGAAGGTGTTTGTGGTATTATTTATCCTTATTGCAGTTTTTTATTTATTACCGATTAGAGCTGTATATTTCGAATTTTATTTATCTTTAGGTTTGATTGTTGGTTTGTTGTTTTGTAATATTTATATTCATTTATGACCGATTATTTGGTTTTCGGTTTAGCTCGACGGATGGTGTTAAGGTTCCATTCCAATAATTTTTTTTTTCTAAAAATATTGCTTATATATATTCATTGAATTATTATATTCATATAATTTTATTTAAAGAATATATTCAATCATTTTTTTTATTTCGAAATCAAACCCATATATCTACCGTTATCCGGAACACAATAATGATTGTATAACAACTTTACATAACAAATTGAGATGAAAAAAATGGGACAAAAAAATGTAAGAACAAAAAAAAAATAGGACTACTAGAAATGCGTGGGCATTGGGATGGTGGGGAGCACGTTGTTTTCCCTTTGTTGCAGCCTATTTCATTATATTCCTCTCTCTATACGTGTGTGTATATATATAATTACTGGTTTGAGCCAATTTCAAATTGGGAAGGGAACGTAATTTTAATAACATGGTTTCGGTCACATGATTAGTTTAATTCTCGATTCAGAATATCCAATTATCCAAAAAAAAAAATATTCGGATACGGATTCGAATATAGTTGAATCATAAGATTTTTTTGGTGTGTTTTCTGTTTGTTTTCTCCGGTAATTTTTTTTTCCTAATGGATGACAAAGGTTAGTGGCACTAAAATCCAAAATTCATAATGATCTTTCACAATAAAATATGATTTGAAATTTAAAAATAACTATATGATCCTTTATTATTAAAAATATTTTGTCTAGTGACCCAATTCATGTAGACCAATAGTTTGTCTCTTTGTATATTTAGTTCGTTCCCGGGTCAATTTAACAATAGACCTTATTTAAAATATATTGTTATATAGAACTCGCTAAAATTGTATTGCAGAAATCATGAAGATATATCGGAAAGACACACACACGCATATATATATATATATAACAAACTTTGAATTTTTATAAAAATGAAAATTGTATATATGGATAAATATACAGCAAACCTTAACTTTAAGATTAAGAAAAAATAGACAAAATCTAAGTAAATGGATTAATAAACAGGATCCAATTAAAAAAATAACTGACAAGCATTAAAGGGGCAAATCTAAACTCAAATTAATATATATATAATTCTACACGTATGAAAATCATAATGAAACTTATCCAATTGGAGACTCGGGAGTTTTAAAAATATGCATCATATCTTATGTACAGATGTGCCTCGACTAACTTTAAGAAAATAATAATAATTTATAGTTTGAGCACTAATATTAATATATATATATATATATATATATATGTGTGTGTGTGTGTGTATTATTTTATCTATATCATTTTTATTAGACTATATCAATATGCAGTCTATATATATGATTTTAAGACACTTAAACATCACCATGTAACCATATTTTATACATAGATGTTTTAGAATTCGATCGGTTTGTTTATTTATTGGTTTTATTTTTTAGATTTTATCAAAATTATATCTCAGTTTTGATTTAAATTTAGTTTTCATAAAAATATATTTAATTTCTTTAATTTTAATACGATTCCTTTATATTCCTTAATATCATTCGGTTTTAATTTTGGTTCAATTAGTTTATTTTAAAATTATATTCAAATAATTTTTAAATAGGATTCATCAACTCAAATGAAAATGATTCAGTTCATTTTTATTTTATATAATCCAAACCGAAATATCACGGTCAATGTCGATACTGATCGTGTTTTATGATGAGTCGCCAACCGTATAATTTTGTAAATAATTGGTCTCTCCTAAGAACAATGGCATTATTATATTATATTTTATATGAATAACATATATATGCATACATATTATAAGATACTTTTTTAACGTGTTTGTTAACAGATAAGATAGAGACAACAACTTGGTTCCTAAGGTAATGGAGTGGTTGTTCACACATGGACATTTATAAATTACCCATAAATATGGAACGAAGTCTCACATAATCTCACTACAAAAAAAAAAAGTAATTAACAACGACATTAGCAACGAAATATATTTTGTTGCAAAGTTAACAATGAAATTGTAATGTTTTGTAACGAAATTTTTTTTGAACGATTTTGCAACGCAACATTTTCGTTGCAAATTAGCAATAAATTTTTTTATTGCAAATCGTTGCAAAATCATTGCAATTTTTTTATTACAATTAACAACGCTTTGAACGCAATAATTTTGTTGTTAATTTGCAACGCAATTTTTGCGTTGCAAAATCGTTACAAAATTATTTCATTGCAAATTAGCAAACGATTAGCAATGACTTTTGCAACGCAACAATTTCGTTGCAAAGATTATCATTTAATAATTAATATGATTTGACCATCGAAAAAATAAATACACAAATTTGCAACGTAATTTCGTTACTAATTGGATTTGCAACGAAATTGCGTTGTAAATTTAAAATAAATTTGTGATTACGATTGATTCCGGTTTTCACGTCTTTTGTAATGAAATTACGTTGCAATGTTTTTCTATATATTCAACATCCAAACACAATCAATCAACAATTTGATAACTGAGAGGTCAATTTGTAATTAATTTGTTTAAAATTTAAATTATATGTTAAACTGTAATCAAATCCTTGTTAATTAATAACGTGATTATATTTTTTCATAAAACATGATGCATGAAGTTAATTACAGCTCTTGATTTATGATTACATGATTTTTGCAAAATAAATATGATTAGACCAACAAAATCAAACCATTGAAAAATTCGGTGTTTGTTCACATGTGGGTTGGGTTACTCAACTTATTATTCAAAATGGAAAAAAAAAGTTAACAAATATTTTTGCAGATTTTTCTCAATTATCAATAACATCCAAAAATTGTAACTATTCATGTTTTGTGCATGACGATAATTTTAGCTATTATTTTCAAAATGGAACCAAACAATATAATATATAATTGTACTGTTTCAGCTGATAACTATAGATTTAAAACTTGAATTTATTCAAACAATTTGTACTGTTTTGATTTTAATTGAGTACACCAATGTGCAAAATTTCTTCATTAGGTAGCTGGATTTAGTTTATCCCATTTGTTTTTATTATTATAGAATTGGGACCCAACTCAATTTCTTAATAGTGCAATTCACATGTTATAAGCAACTACACTAATTCATATTCACGTTTCTGTCCCTGTATGTGTGTATAAAAGAACTAATGTAAAACCGAAATGAAATGAGTAGAAACGAAAAATCCAATTGGTAAATTTTAAATAAATTTGAGATTAACACGATGTTGATATTGACGTATGAAATTTATTTTTTTATTTATTCATCTTCCATGGTCAATTACACAACTTATAATCGAATTTTAGCACAAGGAATACGTATATTGTTGTAGTTATAATATCTTATTTTCAATCAAAATGTCTAATGAAAATGACGTATGAGCACATCAGCGTTTCTCTTATCACCATATAGTCACCATGTAAAAAAAAACCCAAAATACGATATAAATTCTCATACATATATACATATACATACATATATATAATATATATATATATATATAAAATAGAAGAGTTGGGAAGTCAACGTGGGCTCAAACAGGTGCCACGGTACTTTGTCAAGCTCTGCATTCAACATCATTGACAAATAAGTTTGTCCTAACACGAATTCTCGAAGTGTGAATGTCTGCTCAAAAACAAATATGTATCTATCTACTCATAAATACTCTCTCTCTCTCTCTCCCCAGCCGTTCTCTACACGTGTTCTTGTCCTCTATTAACCTGTTTGACTAACATTGCAGTGTCATCATCATCATCATCATCATCATCATCTTCATAGAAGCCAAGATGCATAACATGAAATGAAACTTCTGCATTAGGATCCAAGATGAGTAGTTGTGTGACAATAGCACCTTGTCTTCACTACGGAAGAATTCAGTTCAGCCCTTGATGTATCTCAAGAGCCTGCAAATGATAATGAAGGACTGCTATTATTAGTAGTTTCTTGATTTGACATGTGCCGTTTAATTAGGTCTATGATGAAATGTTTACAGATTTAGAACCGAAATTGCCATCAGAATTCAAGTGCTTAGGAGATGTGGGAAAGAG